TAATGGTTGCTTGGTCGCAACGCGTTTGACAGACAGGACAGCGCCATCTGGAGGCGACAAACCGTACTGAAATAACCCCTTACAGCACTCCTCACCTTACACGGAGAAAAATGTTATTGAGGGGCCAGCAAAGAGCTTTATGTATTTTTAAAAATAGCCACACAGAGAGAATTATTCAAGTTCATTGTTCTTGAATTGAGAACATTCGTTCTTAAAAACAGTGCAAGTACATTTTGGTATCTATGTTCTCAATATTAGAACGAAATGGTGAGAAGAGAAAAGTTAAAAGTAATCACTAAAGACTGGACTAATAGTTGAGATATACAATATAAATACCGCCATTTCAACTTGATTCAGGCAAAATAAAAATATTTTCAACTTAAAAAATTTCATTCTATTTTTAAGAACATTTTCTCTGTGCAATAAATGTGTTTTTTATCTTCTAACTTAAAATTGCCTATTTGTATCATACTAAAGATATTCTATTTCAAGGTAGATATATAAATATTTATTTATATATTTATTCCCAGGTTAAAAGGCAATTAAAAATTTGCCTATAACCAATGTTACTTATTGCAGCTATAGCTACTGTGGCCTTAAGCTACGTTTAATAAATAATAATTTACATTTTTACATTTTGAATATGTCCAGGTTTTAAATGAGATGGTATCATTTAATTGCATTTAAGAATGGCATGGAAGCTAGGATATTTAGGGTGTTAGGAGTAAGAAGTTCAGACGGGTTTGAGGGTAGGAACTTGTTTCTTTACGATTTTCTCTTCAATTGTCAAATAAATCTTTCGCCTTTTACTAAGGTATATAAATACAAAATTTGAATAAAGCATAAAACAATTTTCTTTTAATTTAACATTTTGAGTGTTTAAAATCAATTCCTATTTTACTGATCAAAGACTGTAAAGTTTTATATATTATAAATCATAATTTATTATATTATTAAGAGTATATTAAAATATTTACCAGTGCACCCGCCAATACTTCAGGCAATTTGTACGCACTCATCGTGGCGTCGGCATCAATAAATTGCCACGGGCGAATCCTTGCGTGTCCTTGGCCACACTCCGTCTCACCCCACTCCTTGCCACGAGTCCTTGGTCAAGTGAGCGCCTACATTTGTCGGCGCCTCTTTTCTGGCCACTTATGCAGCCCGATGTCCGTTGCACTTTTCCGGCACGCAACGCCAAGAGCTTTTCCTCATTTGCATTTCGGACAAAAAGCTCGAAGTCCGGTAAAATATGTTTTAATGTATTTTTCGTTTCCACGGCAGCATATATTCGTTGCGAGGGAGTTTTCCGTTTCGAGATGCTACCCATGTCTCATCTTCACAACATCCATGCCGATTCACTTAATCACAATCACGGCTGCTTCGTTCAACCAAAAGGTTTAAGTATCTTGCCATAATTTAAAAAAGAGGATGGAAATCCCTAGAACAATTTTGAAATTACAAAGTTTTTGGAATCCAGAATGTATTTTTTAAGCCTACCTATGAAAATATTGTTAGGTAAGGGTACTCCCCACAGTTTCATAGGCTTTATGCAAGTAACAGCGAAGTGTAATGCAGTGGAAACATTTCAGAATTCAATTATTCCCGCTTGGTAAGAGTTTTAATTAAAAATCAGTCATAAAATGTGCGTATGAGCTCGTGATGCTTAAAAATTGAGCATCGATTCGTGGAGGCTTTTAAGTTTGATTAAATTTTGACAAACACCAACAACTGAAGCATCAAAAAATGCGTTTGGATCACGTACACACTTTGGGGTGCCCCAAAATGGTCCTAAATATTAAAGAGGGTCTCTTGTCATAAGTCAATAAACAGACAAAATGAAAATGGTCGAAATGGGTAGACTCTGCCACTCACAGTGCTGCAAACCTATGAATTTAAAATCATAATAAAACAAATTCAAGGACGATTTCCAGACTTTGATAAATACAATTTACATGCATTTTTTACATATTTTTCGGTGATTGGCGTATATTTTTTAATTTAATTACAACAACAATAAAGCGACCAGGTTCATTGAGATTTATGAAAAGCTTACAATAACAAAATACACACGCTGAAATCAGAATAAAAGTTGTGTATACGTAAACAATTCATTTCATTTCATTTTAATGTGCCATTGTTGTTCGGTCGAACAATAACAGAATATCAGAGTGGCAAACTGTTTACTTGCGTATCGCGACGGGGCCAATTAATGAATTTTCATTTTCGCGCGTTGATTGCTCCACTTTTGGCCAATTTCAGGGGGCAAAATCAATAACAATACGGTGGCCGGGGTAGCCGTTTAATTAACCATTCGCTCTATATACCTTTCACCCGCACCACGACGGCGAACAGGGAATAGGCCATCTTCAGAGTGGCGAAAAAGGCGTTTAAATTCAGCTCGATGAGCCCGCCCGCCTTTATGACTCGCCCCCTGGACCCCAGGGTCAGTTGGGTGAAGACGAGCAGATCGAACCGATGTTCCCGGGACTGATCGTACCACCTGCTGGAGAAGATCGCGTACGGCAGGCTCTGCACCTCCTCGGCCACCTCGCTGGCAAAGTAGCAGCTGGGGAAGAGCTGCATGCAGACCACCCCGAAGAAGACCAAGTAGTAGACCAGCGAGATGGTGTCGCCCACAAAGAAGAGCACGTAGGTCACGGTGATGCACAGGGTGGCGCCACAGCCGCCCAACTGGAACAGCTGCACCGGGCTGACGGTCTGAGCCACAAGGCTGTGGAACCTGCAAGATCGAAAGGAATAAGTTCAAGGACTATCACTAAAAACCGAGGCTACATTTTAGGCAGTACCTTAGGTTTTTGCATTTTTCTAACACTACTATATTAAAACCTCAAGAATCTGAATAGAGCAGAGAACATAAGTGAGGATGAGTACCGAAAGTGCGTGTAACTAAACTGAAAGGCTGAACACTAATCGAAAGATATCGTTCAAAAGTTATTCCAAAGACAAAATTATGTTTGTTTGTGCGTAAAAAAGGAACAGATTCAAACCTTCTTACTTCTGCTATTACTTTTCTGCTCTTAACGAGAAAACAGGGAGTGAAGTTCGTACATGCAACATTAAAAGGTTATTATTATGTTATCAAGATGTGTGAAGAGTAAATAACATACATTCGACTAAATAAGAAGAATGTCTAAACTTTTCTTATTCGGCATAAGGTATAAAAGGAATACTTTTTTTCGTAAGTTCCTGGGTAGAAGCTTAAATATTTTCCTATAACTTGCCATTTCTGAAAAAACTCAGTTCCGGATACCTAAACAAGTAATAAACTTTCTATTTATCGCTTTAGATATCTACAATTTCCTGGAGCATAATGCAGCGGCATCGACATCGTATAGGGCTGTAGTCTAGTGCATTTATAAATGAGTGTCAATCGGGTGTGAAAGCTCCAATACAATACAGAATGTAGTTCTTATTGTGATTTCCACCATGCGCCCTACTAAAAATAAAATGGTTGTTAGTTTTGACGATAAAGATTTATTCAGCGGAATATTTTTATTATGAAAAGCGATATCTTTACATGACGCTAACATATAAAAAGTGGATTAATCGCTTTTAAAAAGTAGTTCTAATTTGTGAGCGTCAATTCTTAGCCTCTAAGAACTCAAAGAACTATTTATGATGAAGGGAAAGGTAGAAGGGGATGACTTTAAAAAGTATTAGTTATTTTAAAAATTAGTTTTCGGAAACTATACAAAATTTAATAAAGCCTTATCAAAGTTTACCTGACCAAGAGCTTATGCTGCTCGATGTATTCCAGCAACCGCTGATGATTACTGGCAGTTTCGTCCTCGAGGAATCCGAGCTGAGCCATCCGAATGGACCACAAATGGAGGTGTCCGCTTAGAAGACACAAGGTCAACGGGGTGTAGGTGTCGTTTCCCAGACCCTGAAAGCCTTCGACAAGCATGCTGATAACCTGATAGCCCAGGGCCGATGCAGCCATCCATTGATTCCTCTCCAAGTCAAAAGGGAAATACGCGGGGTATATGAGCTCCCAGTTTCCGTTAATGATCTGAACGAAGATACCTAATAAGAATAACACGTACACCATACCGAAACTTATGTAGAGACATCGCGTAAAGCGCTTCGCATGACAGTGCACGTGGTCCTGGTAGTATCGATGCTCCTGTTCGCTCGATACGAACGTATCCAGCTGTCCGATCAGAGATTCGATCTCCACAATCTCAGGCAAGTGATACAGGTGGGCCACATGCTTGAGACTGCAGGCAAGACAGGTTATGGACATGGACAGGTTCTTCACGAGTTCAGCCGCAGAAGGATGCAACAGAAGATGCAGCAGAAGGTGCAGTGGGAACCACAAGGTGACCAGGATATGTAGCGCCGCCACATAAAGCTGGATGGGGCCTGCTTGAAGACTCCTTGACTCCTTGAAGAATGTCGGTACTAGCACTCGCATGCAGAGCCAGAACGGACGATAAAAATGAACACTATCGATGATGACCATTGTTCTCCTAATGGATATTCGTTGCTGAGCTGGCAGCTTTTATGCAGTTGCCTTGGTAGATGCACTGCCAGAAATTACATAAAATGCAATGACTTTTTACAATAGAATTTTATGTTTCAGTGGTTTAATTTTAGGCCAATATTTTGTTATCTCGTTATAAAACTTTTTAAAAAAAGTATTCTGAACTCAAAAAAATTTAGGTTCATAAACAGATTTATAAAGGTATATGCAACAGATACATTTTGGACGTTTAGTAAATATGTTTAAAAAATTTAGCGGTTTCTGTGTAACTCCCAAATACTTAAAAAATATCATACTGGATTAAATTAAATACATTTCAAAACCGGCTTTATTTAAGCAGGTCATTTTCAGGTGCATTATCTACCGCTAAGCGGCATTTAAACGCAGCCAATGCAATTTTCATAAAGCTTCCGCTAATGGCCCCATTAGTGGTAATTAAAATAGAGCGAGTATGCAAATGAGTGGGCCAATAGTTCCACGGGCTCACTCATTATCGCAGCGACATGGCCAGTGTGAAGAAGGAGTAGGCCAATCGTACGGTGGCGAAAAAGGCATTCATTCCGATGCCAATCATTCCACCCGCCTTGATCTGCACCTCCGTCAGCGTTAGTTGCATGAATATCAGCATGGTGCGGCAATATCCCCGATCCATTCCCATCCAGTTGCTCGAATATATCGCGTAGGTCAACCTGCTCATCTCCACGGATATCAGAGTACCGTAATAGCAGCACGGGAACAACTCCAGTACCATGGATAGGAAATACACACCGTAGTAAGTTACGGCAAAGTTATTTTCCGCAAAAAACAAAATGTTGACTAGCGTTATGGAAATATTGACGCCACTTGATATAAATTGACCAAGTTGCGATATATTCATGGTGCTGCGCAGCAAGTCCACGATTCTAGAAAGGTAAACGATTCGTTGAGATGTATTTTTACATAGATGAGATGAGTTTTTGTAACTTTTATGATAGAATAAATTAAAGTAAAATTTTTTATCGATACTTTGCGATAAATAAAATGCAGTTTATGAAATGAAATTAAAAGCATGGCTTAAAGATTTTCATAGCCTTTAAAATAAAAGAATATATTACTTCATTATTTTTCTGTGGTCCTCGATGCTTTCGATTAACTGCTTACCGACTACGGCCTTTGTTTCCTTTCGATCTTGTCCTATTTTACTTAAACGCATTGCCAATAGTCGCACATGTCCAGCTACCACACAGAATGTCATCGGTGGATAGGAGTCATTAGCCAGGTTCTGAATAATTGCCAAAGTTACTCCGGCTATTTGGTAGGATACACTTAGCCAAAACCGTAGCTCTGAGGCCTGCACATCGTATGGAAACCAGGCCGGGTATAACAACTTATGTCCACCGCCGAAAAGAACCGATGCTATAGCCGAAACATTCGACAATCCATAGGCCACGAGGAAACTTTTCCAAACCAAATTCGCCTCACGTTTTGTGTTTTGATTAAAAAACTGGCGTTCCTCAGGACTCAAGGCTCGCTGGTCAAGCTCTTTAAACAAGACTTCAATTGTTTTAATCTCTTCCAACTTCAGGCGGAAGCAAACAAACTTAAAGCTTGCGAAGAAGCAGGCAGCTGTGATTGGTAGACCTTTGCCGAGAATTAAATGAATTGGATACCAGAAAGTGACGAAAACTGTGATCAAAATATCCAGTAAGCGATTTAGGATGAATTGGCTTTCCAAGCCCAAAAGACGCCAATATAGCCAATAGGCTCGGTAGATATGTTCACTTCTAATAACTGGCGACTTTAAGTCCATGTTCGAAACAAATGTGTAGGTCCTGCGGAATTTCCTCTTTTATACTTGGACTTGGAATTAATTTCAGTCCACCTATGTAACGCCCACCAATTTAGTGTCCCTGTGGCAGACCTATAATTTTGGTTAACAATTCACACCTTTCCTTAGGTAACAAACGTCTTGGTACCTTTTTTATTTGTCAAAAATCCTTTACCTAGACAGTTTTTAAATTATTGAGCCGATTATTCTTGAGGGCGGCAGTGTAAATAAATATTTATGGGTTGAGAAATAAAATTTTATTGACTAACGTTTGGTGTTTGGGTGTAATATTTAAAATTAGATAAATGACACGTAAATGTTATAAGTGCTTACAAGAATTTTATAGTTATTTAATGATATACTTATAACTTTTGTTGTTAGGCTTGGTTAAATGTTTATTTGTTTTGAGAGCGGCTTTTAAATGTAATCCTGTACTCCTAGAATCGAAACGACATGGCTAATGTGAAAAAGGAGTAGGCCATACGGCAAGTTGCATAAAATGCACTCATGTCGATGCCAACAATACCGCCAGCTTTAATATCTACCGGAACAATCATAAACTGCATTATAATTATTAAGGATCGTTTGTATTCCTTATTAGTCTTAATCCAGTTGCTTGAGAAAATGGCGTATGGTAATTTGTCGAACTCCATCGTCATCAGCGTTCCGTAGTAACAGCTTGGAAATAACTCTATAAACATGGCCGCAAAGAACACAGCATAGTAAGTCATCGAAAACTTGTTTTCCGCAAAGAAAAGGATGTTGACCAGCGTTATTGCAATGTTGATTCCACTCGAAAGGAACTGACCCAGTTGGGTAAGATACAAAATTCTGCGGAGCAAGGAAACTATTCTGAAAAAAACAAATTTCAGTTCATTAAATTGCAAACAATAACAAAAACAAGAAAGGAAGTTAGCTTCGGCAAGCCGAAGCTTATATACCTTGCAGCTATAATTATTAAATCTAAGAAAACAAAAAATTATATTCCCAATAGTATAAGATAATATGTTAAAAAACACCGAAGCTATAATTTGTTTCATATTATTTTCCTACCAATTTTCCGATCGTTTCTATGGCAGCTATATGATATAGTCGTCCGATTTTGATAAAATTAAATTCGAAATTCAGAACTAATTAAAAAATGTTATTTCCAAGCTTAGGAGGTTATATGGTAAAAAACACCAAAGATATAATTTTTTAAAATTTTTTTGTCCGATTATTCCTATGGGAGCTATAAGATATAGTTGTCCAATCCGGCTGGTTCCGACTTATATACTGCAAAAGATATAAGACTTTTGGGAAAGTTTCAGCCCGATATCTTTAAAACTGAGAGACTAGTTTGCGTAGAAACGGACGGACAGACGGACATGGCTAGATCGACTCGTCTAGTCATGCTGATCAAGAATATATATACTTTATGGGGTCGGAAACGTCTCCTTCACTGCGTTGCAAACTTCTGACTGAAATCAATATACCCTCTGCAAGGGTATAAAAAGCAAGCAAGAATGTTATAGTCGAGTGCCGCGACTATCATATACCAATTAATCAGCTAACCAACTTCAAAACAAATGTACTTTTTACATTTTATCTACTTTACATCTTACACTTTTCTTTTTCATCTACTGGTCCGACTTGTACAATTTTCGGCGTGCCGGTTTGTATTGACAAGTGAAATGACATAAAATGTATCTTATCTGGGCGCTACGGTTTTGGGCGGTTTGTAGGCGTTGGATGTGCAAAACTCTCTAAAACAACATGTTTAATCCCAACTTGTTAGCTTTCTCTTGAGGTCTATCGGCGGTTTGTGGGATTCAGAGTGAACGCGGAAACTTTTTTTTTATATATTAAAACTGTAGGGGCCTCAGTTTTGGGCAGAATATAAAAAATTTTCTGAATCAATCTTCCGCTGCACAGGAATCTCTAGAATCTGACAGCCTAATCTAAACTTTTTAGGTTTTACAGTTTTTTAGATCACAGCGTTGAACCGACATGGCTGCGGTTGGAAACGGTTCCTTTTTTGTATCTGTGTATCTAGTATATCGTTTTAATCTACGAGTAACGGGTAAAAAAATTATAAGGTGTACAGTATGCCAAAATTGTTTAGATGTAACAGAACTTTTTTGAAGAGTTCTATCTTACTGCATTAGCTTCCTGTGATCCTTAATTCCTTCGATGAGTTGCATTTTATTTTCAGCCATTGATGTCTTCTCATCCTGCCCAATTCGACTTAATCGCATTGCCAAAAGTCTCACATGTCCGGTGACTACACAAAATGTTATTGGGGGATATGAATCGTTGGCAAGGTTTTCCAGAATCAACATACTGGACCCAATAGCCTGATAAGTGAAGCTAATCCAAAATACTAGTGCGTTGGCTTGAACATCATAAGGAAACCAACCCGCATACATTAAATTACGGCCACTACTAAATAAACCAGCAGCGATGGCAGTGATTACCGCAGATGTAGCAGCCACTAAATAGCCTTTCGAGAGTGTTTGGGCCACACTTCGTGGATTTTGATCAAAGTATCGGCGTTCTTCGTCACTATCAGCTCGCTTATCCAATTCCTGAAGGTATTTTTCGATGACCCTAATTTCCGAAAGTTTCCATCGAAAGCAGATAAATTTAAAGCTGCAGAAGATACATTCTGCTGTGAAATGCAGACTCCTGAAGACTTGAACGACCGGCTTATTATACAGTCCAAGGATTAAATGCACGGGGTACCAAGTGGTGATGAAAAAGGTGATCACAAAATCCAGTAACCATCGGAATTGATAATCGCCTTCGACGCCCAAAAGTCGCCAATAAAGCCAATATGTTTTATAGAGATTTTTACTTTCGACATCCTTACAGGTTGACAGCATGTTTAAAACACTTAGTCAAGCGATGCGGTACCCTTTGCTTTTATAGAGTTTATCTTTCTAATTATACAGTCATGTGAAAAATAACAAGGACGCCTGCAAGTTACTAATGAACTTTTGTTCTGTAAAATGATTCAATGATTTAATTTTTAAGAATTTTGTTTCGATTTTTTTTTTTACCAATTAAGTAGTAATTTTTAAAGTAGTCATTTTATAGGCATTTTACTGAAACGTACAAGGTGTCCTTATTGTTTTTCGCATGTCTGTATCTGTCTCGGGTAGGCGTAATTGTTGTCCTCGTAATTATATTTAATTACTCATACAATTATCACTTAATATTTAAGTGTGAATTTTGTGTGACGCAACAATAAAAAGCTTTACATATTACTTAAAATATAATCACATAGGTGTAGGACTAAACTAACTGATACTCCTGTGAAAAAAAGAATTTTTTTTCGAAAAATTACATGGAGATATGGAAGCGGTAAAGCGAGATGGCAAGGCGCCATTATTATTATTATTACTATTAAAAAGTCTTTATAAATGACTTTTAATGACAGATTTTAGTGTTACGGTCGTGAAAACCTTTTTGTAGATCAATCGATAGGTTTTTACGAAACAGGTATATGTTAAGATATTTATTCTAACATAGAATAAAAAATTAGAGCACACCATCACACCAGATTTTAATTTTTTGTTCGCACACTCTCCTGGTGCACTTTGTCACTACGTGGTCTTCCGTCCACGGTGATAGGGTCGAGATCGCTTCATTTTACCTGTTACATACTTTTCCCCGATTACAATGTACACCTTTTCTCTACAAATCATGAGTATAAATATGCCATATCTCGTTAACGAGTATTTATTTAAATTATTTAAACAATTCATAAAGGAATAGTAATAATCTTGTATCTTAGTTTTATATATAAATCGAAATGACATTGCTTGGGTTATTCTGATTGTTGCTATGAAAGTGATTATGCTGATGCCAATAATTCCACCAGCCTTGACGTCCACCTCTATTTGCATCATCTATGCAAATATCCAGTTGCTCGAAAAAAATGCATTTTGCGGGCCATTAAGCACCATGGTGACTAAGGTGCCGTAGTAACAACTTGGAACGAGCTCCAAAACTATGGTTATAATGTACTCAGCATATAAGATGCTCACAAAAGTGGTTACAGCAAAGAACAGAATGTAGAATTGTAGAATATTGATTGTCTGGATACTTCTATACTTGATCTATGCCTATCTTATCCAATTCCGCTCAGTCGCATTTCTAATGCAATGGGAATGTAGGATTATTTGGCTAGAAGTATAAACGCTCTTCTTCACTCATAATTCGCTGGTCTAATTCAGTAAACAAACGCTCGATTTTTTTTATTTCCCGGAGTTCTATAGAAAGTAAATAAAATTGAAGCTGCTGCAAAAAGATGTTGCCGTGATAAGAAGATTCCTAAAGATGTTCGCTAAGGATCTTTTCCAAAAGGGGCCAATCAATAAGTGCGTTGGAGACCAAAGGGTAACGCAAAAGCTGATAAGAATATCCAGTACGAATCAAAAAGGAAAATCGTCTTCAATACATAAAATTCGTTAGTAAAGCCAGTAGATTATACAACCGGCAAGGATAATTACATTTTACAAACATGTTTTTATAGCCAGTTTTGATTCAATTAATATGTAAAGTTAATTACGCTGATTGGCGTAGGGGTAGCAATTACCTATAATTATAATTAATTGGTGCCAAGCCTTTTACACCTGTTTCTTGTAACAAAACACCTAAAGGGTTTTTATATAAATAAACATAAAACGAAGGCGCTTGACTTTTGAGTATAAGGCTCAATCGATTTTGAATAAAACATACTTTTTTTTTGCTGAAGCAACGCGTACTTAATGGGCAATAAAAAGTGCAGTTAAAAAGTGGAGAAAAAGTTGCTTTTTAATCTCTGTTGCAACTGCACGGACTAAGTTGCCTTAATTTGACATTAAAATTCTCTATCTGCATCTGCTGGAAAATAGTTTAAGAACAAGGGGGAAAACTCTTTTCTTCGTGCTGGAAAAGTTCCATCTTTTGGCCTTTTTCATGTTTTATTATCGCCATCGATGGCTTCTGTAAAAGTGTCAACAGAAACAGCTACTAAAAACGTACGTTAGTTTACACAGTCCTTACAGACGATAAAACGGCATCAAGCTAATTTTTAGGCACATGGTTTTTCTGGTATTCTACTACCACTCTTAAAGAATTTTAAAATATTTGTTAAGGCAATATTATTTTCATCAATAAAAAGTTAATGTTTGTAAGCTTTGTATTCTTAATGCCAAAATGAACAGCCATGGTAATTGGGTGTAAACGGCGACCACAAAAAAAGTTTTACGAAAACACCAGTCACAAAATCCTTGCGGAAGTACGTTTGATATATATTTTATTTTGAGCTTTAGGGTGGCTTTATATAATTTGATTATTTTTAATAAAAATATTACTTAACCTAAATGACTTTATTTGACATACTTTTGTAAAAATATTATATACTTAAAAAAATAACAATATGCTTGCTTTGATTGTGGTGCATAATTAAGATGAAAATTCATTTTTTTTTTTGCTTTATTTTTAAAATTTTAGTCAAAATGTTACATACTTCTAACAATAAACAATATGCTCGCTTTGACTGTAGGGTATAATTAAGAGGCAGCTGCAATTTTTTTTTTGCCAACTTTTTGTGCTTTTTGTTTGTGGTCTGACCCCTCGAATGGAAAGAAAAGTTGCAAAAGTTATTTGATTTCGAATTTTTTGAAAAGTTTCTCTTCTCTATATGATTTTTTGGCTTCGACTGCCCTCTGAGTAAGTGTGTTTCTGTGCGACTAAATTAATGAAAATCACAACTGTGTGCAAAATGTAATTTAATCTTATTTTTTCCCCCAGTTGGGCTCGCGGGCAACTGGCGCGTGGCCTGCGATAAACTTCCAGAAAAGTGTGAGTGGCAGTGAGTCGGTGGAAGTATTCTGGCTTTATCAGGCGAAACTGACAGTTTTCAAATTTATCAAGAAGCCGAAGGCTTTGAGAAAGGGCGCAGACCCATCTGTGCAGGGTGTTCAATTTGTGATGGGCAAGGTCACACGGTCTTGACTTTGTCGTACTGTTTGTTCTGTAATTTATTAGATTTCACTTTGCTGCTTTGCATCAAACGGGAGGTTTTTATTACCCTTTGGCAACTAATTTTGCAACTACAAGGTAAACAACAAAGAAATCGAGTAAACATCTAAATATTCATCCAGAAATTGACGCAGATAGTCAATTTAAATGTTTAAAGCCCATAAAATACAGCGCTTTTATCGCTGGATAAGCACACAGTAATGTGGATACCACGCTCCTCTGCAAATCCGCAAAAAAAATCAAGGCTGTTAAATGCGAATCCGTTCCTCGGAAAATGTGGAAAATATCAAAGCAATAAAACGCAGAACATATCCAGAATTTTGTCATGTCTTCGCTCTGCTCAACCACAAAAAGAAATGCCAAGAAAGCAAAGGTCAGCAGTGTCAGCCAACTAAAGACCTCAGCCATTTTTCACTTTCCATAAAAATGCCAAAATATTTCTTGATTTGCTTTTCTTATTTTTATTCCTTTACAACGCATGCCTCTCAATGCGAAAATAAAGTGAATATTACCCAATTTGAGTAAGCGTCGAAAGTTTTACCTAAGTCCCTAACTTTGAATATTTCTCTAGATAAACACTTTATAATTTAATATACAATTCCCACAGTCTGGGAAATGATATCTCCCATGGCATTGACCACATTCAGTCTCTGTTTACACTGGACTCGAAGGCATTGTGTCAAGTATTTATTGCTTTATCGCTGTTCGTTATGTTGCGTTCAACTAATTTCAAACGATTTTTCACAGCGGAAATATTTACCAGAACTGCGCCAAAACTGGTGTGTGTTTCTTTCGCTATATGGTTTTATATTTTTTTGCGTTTCATTGTGCTGACCACTAGGAGGTCGGGGTTTAGGGTGTTCCAAAATCGAGAGTGGGCTGTCGACAGCATGGAACTTGCATGAACCGCCAGCTGCGTTCAACGTTTGTTTACTTAGTCTACTAGGGGCCTGTGGATGGACTCGGGTCTGCTCAGTGTGCTTTTCTCAGGGGCGCCACCCAGAGGGGCCTCAGATATTTGCTCAGCCAATAGTCAAGTCATGCGTGAGTGTGTACATTTCCTCAAAAAGAAAGAGATAATGAACAAGGACCAACTTTCAGAAAGTTACTATTTTAACTTAAAACTAAGTTTTTTGGTAGACGGTATTTTAAATAATATTTTTGGTCCAACAAAGATTTAGTTTACTAAACGAACTTTAAGCTTTTTATTGCTTTCAGGGCATTTCTATGGGCGAACTAGCGGATGAAAGCAGGACTACTGACCATGCTAGGCTGAAACAAACTTGCGTTGCGTAGGAACCCCTAGAATCTGTATGCTTGATCCGGACATTCTAGCTCTTTTAGATTTCGGACGCAAAAGGCTAGATCTACTTGGTGAATGCAACATACCCTTTGCTCAACGGGTCAGAAATAAAATTTCTTAAGAAAAATTCATTCAAGGTTTTTTCAACGATTTATATTATAAATAAATATTAGAAATCAGTCTTCATGGGATAATATTTTTTAAAAATGATTTTATAAAGTATACAAAGAAATGTTCCTATTAACTTAAATACCATTTTAATGATTTTTCAAAATAAAAACCAGGTATTAACATTTGGGGTTTGTTAAGGAGACCCCCTTTTTGTGCGCCCCTGTCTTCCTAATGCTCAGTTGCTCAGTATGTGTGTGTCTGTACTTGCGGCCACTGCTAATCGTCTAATTTTATCATGTGGTTTTCCCCATTTAAGTGCCGCCAAGTGTTGAACGATTTGTGTAGTTTTCCCTAACCAGAGCCCCGCTTTCCCCGCTTCTTGTGGCAGTGGTTTCCATCCTTTTTTCTAGTGGCTATTCGTGGAATTTTCGGTATGGC